GATCTTATACAATCTATGGCTTTGGAGATGGGCCAATTTTGGCATCCTTATAATTAAACAATCCTGATAAAGGGGAACCATGAACCAAAGAGGGTCCCTGTAATGGATCACCTGGCACCCCGACTGGGTATCTCCGTTAACGGATACTTCCTAGCTGACGCCGAGGACTACAAGCACCGCACCGGACACCACAACCACTGCAGACTCCACAACTGCTGTAGCTTAACTGGAATCTTGCTGTCTTCCTTCCACCCTGGATCAACATCTGACATCCAGGACAGTGTGGGGGAGACCTCTCCTCCAGGAGTGCGTAACAGGAACAGCTCTTAAAAGAGCTAAGTGATTAGATCCCAGGGGAGCATAAAGAGTATAGCTATCCCCAGTGTGATTATAGCAGTTCCCCTCCAATCACGAGACAAGAACAAGAACAGATGGTTTAATGGCACAGATTGGATTTTTATACAGTTTTTCAGGCCAGAGGCACACCACTGGACCTAATGGAGGACAGGGACACAAGGGACATAAAGCAATCAAAACAGTAATTAACAGTACGACACTCCCACATACAGTAAACAATCCCTCCTCTCTGCCTGTGATATAATTAAGGTATTTAACGCATTAACCTATTTATCCACAGGCAGAAAAAAAACACACATTTTTATAAAGTCCCATTAGTACCCCAAAACATAACATTACATCCCCTGATAGCCCTGATCTGGGTGAACAACACATCCAAAAATCACCCAGATCAGAGCAGGGGTTCAGGAAATTCCTGGAAGTCTCTTTTGACCAACCGCATACATGTGGCCGCAAGCCCAAAACAGTTCCAGAGAATCAGGGCTTGCGGCCACATTAGTTCGGTAGTTTGCAAATGAACAAACTACTGAACGGAGTCAATAGTCTTATCCTGGAGCTTGTATCCTTCATCAAGACGAATGATCTCACCGAACAATGCCCTTTTAAGCTGAATAGAAACTAATGCGGGCGATGATGGAAGTCCAGCGGTGTTCGGGAGTTTCTGTTTCAGATTTTAGTTCCAGGAGATTCATGCCCAAACACTGCTGCCTGCATACATGCGAACAAGATGGCCGTCACCTCCTGGTTGTTCGTAGGAATCGCGGCCACCCAGACGAACAATTAGAAAACTGCGGTGAGAAACGTTCGAAGTTGTTAATAGGTGTTAAAATGTAATATTTTTACATAATTAGGTATCTTAATTAATTACAATTAGCGGGACCTGCCTGACAACCCATGCCGAAAGTAAAGGGAATTTAATTTGCTAGCACTATATTTAACCCTATAACTTTTCACGACACCATAAAACCTGTACATGGGTGGTACTGTTCTACTCGGGAGACTTGGCTGAACACAAATATTAGTGTTTCAAAATAGTAAAATGTATTACAACGATGATATCGCCAGTAAAAGTGAAGTTTTTACACGGACGATATTATTGCTGCGATACTATTTACTGTTTTGAAACACAAATAATTGTGTTCAGCGAAGTCTCCCGAGTGTAGATGCGAATATCCATTATTCTCAATATCCTAGCTGTTTATATAAGGGTTAATTTGACCCAAGAATAAATTTGGAATTGTATCTCCAATTCTCGGAAATAAAACTTATCTATTTATTGGAACATGATTTTGTTATGTTCCTGGAAAAGGATATTTACATGACATGAAATGACATAATAAGGATTCTGGAATGACCTTGTTAATTGTCCAAGATTTCGGTATTTGTAATCATCTGGGTTTTATCCAATATGCATACATTATGTAACATTGAATTATAACTAAAAACAGCTGTTTATAACTTGTGAAAAACAATGTCATTGTCACGCCCATATGCTCATTTTTCCCCCTCCCATCCTGCTATGAAAATGGGGTATAAATATAACTGACGTATGAATACAATTTGAATTGGTTATTGAACATGTCTCTGCTATTCATTTCCAATTTCCAGAGCTCTGTATGAGTTGGCAAATATCCATCATCCACAAAGGGCCCGGGCTGATTT